TGGACTTGTTGCGTCGACGATGAGGGAATTACATGCATTTGATAGGGTGAAAACCGATGGTTACGATTGAGCAGTGTTAAGATTGGGTGAGGGGGAAGGTGAACTCTGGAAAGTTTTGTTTGTGCTAGCGTGGCAGACGGAATAACCAAGTTGGCAATGTCAAATTGGACTCTGTTTGGACAAAACCTACGACGCATGAGGCATAGTGATCTTTGAAAAGTAAGGTACATTAATGGTTTTAACCGGATATACTACTAAATTAGACGCCGTAACAATGAGCTAATTCCGCACTTGAGGCATTGTAATCATTGTCAAGGGAGGTACATTTGAGGTAATTGAGTGTAAATTGGAAAGTGATTGATGAAGCCCAGGTTAAGCTAGACTATGAGAATGTTCGCTTCCTACAAATTTTGCATTTGGCAATGCTAGGACGATGTGGCTTCCATTAGCTTTCTCTTGCGCAAGGTTCATCGAACATACAGAATGGGCAGATTATGTACGACGTGGCCTTAAGGCGATACTTGATGCGTGGACCAAATATTTCACGCCGTTGTGACTCAACCGTTTTATCCGGATATACTACTAACCAATATTGTCTTCCCGCTTTTTCCGGCTGATAGAGCTCACTCCGGGGGGGTTGATTTGTGAAATGTCGCGACCGGATGTTTTAACCGGAACGCGGGTACTCTCATCCGGACAGTCCTTCATTCCAGGTGCGTGTGACGGGGCTGAATCCGTCGGAAAGAGTAGCGGATGCCCCGAATTGAACCGAGGACCTTGGGATTACATATCACACGCAGTACAACTGAGCTAATTGCGAAAGAGACACACAGTATCAAAGACGACTATATTAGGCTTGACCTAATACTAACATTGTCCAATTGGGCTCACCTAATTCTTATTGCCATTGTTGTTGCAGTGGTATGTCGGAGTGCATTGCGTTTGGCAGATGATCGGTAAATAGTGTGTGTACTGCAGAGTGGCGAGTGGGAGAGTAATCACTTGAACCAGACGAGGGGCGGTCTGACGGTGAATGTTGTTGGAGCCATTCCGCGTAGGGTAGGGGCGGGACGTGACCTTGAGACAGTTGAGCTTGACGGAGTGTCGCAGCACCTGTCGCATCTTCAACGACTTGTCGTCACCGACTGGCAGACATGGCGGTCGAGGAGGTCGGGACCAAGAGCAGCGAGTTGGGGTGCTTGGACTGCAGGAGCCGGTAGTTGGGGTAAGTTCGCAGGGTGTGGAGGACTTGGAGGGCCGAGACGCGCACAGGGCAGTCAGGGTCTTCGAGGGGGAGCCACCGGCGGACGGAGGTCATCCAGCCGAGGTAGGATAGCTCGAGCCA